CATTGATTTAATCAATTTAATGTATCTTACTGAGAAAACCCCACTCTTTTTTAAATCATTATTATTGAAAGTATTACATATGTCCCCTTCTTTTCCCCTTTGACCCCTTCTAGCCCCCGCCCCTGGCCTTCACCACACTATTGTCTGTGTCCATGGGTCATGCATATATGCATACAAGTTCTTTGGTTGATCTCTTCCCACCCACCCACCTCTGCCTTCCCCCTCTTGACCATAACACAGCACAGAAAAAGACTAGCTGTTTTTTTGGTTTTGTTTGCTTGTTTTTTTCAAAGTAAGAAAAAAAAAGAAAGAAACTTGATAACTGGCTTGGTTGAGGCTTCATTGTTTCAGCACCAAGGAGTAGCAAATTCTGTGAATAAGCACCTTCCCTGAGGAGCCCTGGCTAGGGAAGGTAGGGAAGTAGAGATTTTTCATTTTTTAACAGGTCCCCAGTCCCACGTTGCCTACAACACTTCCTCCGAGTTGATCTGATCCCTCTTCGACAAGCCAGCCCCCTTCCTAGACCAGACCAATCCATGCAAAAGCTTCAATTCCAGGAGTCTTGCTTCCTTCTCAGTGTTCAGGGCTGGCTGGTTTCCAGGTGACTCCATGGAGGCCTCACTTTCTAACATAAGGAATGCTGCGTAAAGGAGTTGGTTACCAGGTGTGGCATGAAGTTAGTGAACCAGAAAAAAGGGATTTATCAACCATTTAAAAAGAAGGGAGGAAAAAGAAAGAAAGAAAAGAAATCAACCAACAATCAGGAACGACACCTAAGCCTACTTCTATCAATCTGAAATAGGCTTTGGAGTGAAAAGCCTTTAAAAGAAAAATCAAGATGGTGAGATTTCAGTTGCAGAAAAGTATGCAAGCTGAAAAGTTTGGCTTTTGGGTGGGGGTGAGGGTGGGGGTTAAGGTGGGGATAGAGGGAGGTCTCTAGGAGATATCTCTCCAGCAAGACAACAAGATGAGATTTTAACAATATTTTTCTATCTTGGGTTTATTCTTTTTAAAAATATTCTTTTTTTCATCTCTCCAAGTTGACTCAAAAAGGCCCTGTGATTCTTGGAAAGTCATTAAATGTATTTCTATAATTATTTTTAACATAGCAGTCGTAGTGTATTCTTTTTAAGGGTCCCACAAACGATTGCATTTTCTATTTTAGTAAAACTTAGTTAGAAAGTCGATGGTATCAGTAGGTACTCTCCAGAGCTTTTGTGTGAGCCTGGATACAAACTTTGTGTTCAATACAAATCAATGGAACTCGTGCACTTTAGGGTACTCATTCCCTAAGGAGTCACTAATGGAATTATCTCTAGCCCTTAAAAAAAGTCACAATGTGGCTAATGAAATTTTTTTCTAAGTGAAATCTGGATAAGGCACTAGACTTACTAGCACATTTTATTTATGGCATTTATCATATTCGGCACGTTTTACACGCAAGTTGCACAAACCTCAGCATGTTTTTAAAAGCTATTTAATATCTAAGAAGACTTTGTAATTTTGGGTTAAATTGTTTGTACCAATAGAGGAGTATATTATATGTCCTCAACTTCAAAATCATTCCGGGATGACATTATGACTTAGAAACTTTTTTTTTTTATATCAGATACAGATGAAAAACCTAACAGTCTTTGGATTGGAAATAACTTTGGGGGTTTTCATTAAAGTTGGGTGCAGCTTGCTGCATGTTGGTTAGTTGGATGTCTTCAGCAATTTTTCAAATGTTTTGGGTTTGGCAAAGTCCAAAATGTTTTTGCCAAGACCCTCTTTTCCCCTTATTTTTTAAACCCGTGTGAAATTCTAGGATAACTTAATCCATATGTGTCTGATTCATTTACACTTAACTCATCAAAATGTTATTTTGTAAGACCCATTTAATATTCAAGAAACCTTTTGAGCCTTTTTAAGACATCTTGTTTTCTGTCTTTGAACCATTGAGTTGTGTTTTTCCATATGAATGGAGCTTGGACCTTGAAAGATTGAAGATCAGTTGATTTTCAACTTAGGCTTTTTAAAATTTCAGTATAATCAAAAGTTGATATATTCTGCTTACTGCTTGAGTGCTAAATACATTCACTTTAAAATATAGATCAGAAGACTTGGAAAAAAAATTCAGGTCCTATAATTTTGGGGAAGACTACATTTGGAAATTTCATCACAGTGATATTAAAGAAAAAAAATACTCCTAATTTTATTTTTAAATTGTTCCATTTTATATGTGCATTGGTGTGTTTTTTTAAGAGTGGTCTATGGATCATTAGCAAAGTGGGGTAATTTCATTTCTTACTGTTAAAATGTTCATACGGACAACTCATTAATTAATTTTAATAATAACATCTATGACGTTTATAAGACATCCCAAGATCAGGGGAGTTGACAATTGGCAGGAGTTGTACATCAAGAGATTTCTGAAAAATTGGGGTCCATATGTTTTTAAAATTCTGTGTGATTTAAAAGAATGTGGTAGAGTTATGAATCTGGCAAGATGCAGCACGATGGAGTAAAAACATTGTTTGAGAACAAAAATTCAGAGAGGCCAAATGGAGCCCAAGTGAAAAAAGCAAAATCTCTATGACCCTTTGTAAAAGGATCCGGAGAAAACCTTCGGAGGCCTCTATGCGTGTTTGTTGAGTAGAGCTGGACAAAGAAAGGCCATCGCCATAACTGCTAGTGAACATCGGCCCACGCCATGGTAACTAGTTGAAAATGGAACACTGGAGTGGCATTTCCAAGTTCAGCGCTTCTATAAAGACCTGCTAGCACGCAGAATGCTTTTTTTAATGTTTTGCATTGTTGTGTGTCCCCCATGGAACAACCTTTTGAGAGGACCCCGTTTTTACTAATGTAAACATTCTGACGAGTATCCAAAGAAATGACCTTTGAGTGAACCTCTAACCTTCCCTGTAATTATTTGTTTGAAGACAGTGTGGAGTTCTCCTGCTGAGAACTAAGAACCATGATGCCTTGCAGCTCTGTGAGTAAGGGAGTGTTTGGGGGAACTGGAGAGAAAGACATAAATAAGGGAACAACCTCCAGATGTAAATAATAAAAGAGCAAAAGGGTGAAATTAAAAAGGGAAAAAATAGCAATTCGTTTTACCTAAAGAGTTGGCCTATAGGAAAAAACAAAACCAGGATTAGTAGCCCATAAAACGAGGTGAAACCCCTGCCATGTGTGTCCTCCATTAGAAACTTCAAGGAGGAGAGAAAAGGTTTGCCCCTCTCCCCCGAGCACCTCACTGGGCCCTAACCTGAGCTGATAAAAAGAGCTCCTGGGGGTGGAAATCTCAGGGCAGACCTCCTTGGTCCCAGTAAAAACAGTGAGGAAAAGAGTGGATAATTAAGTTCCTTTTCTGATTGGAGGGATAATTCTGGAAGGCTCTGTGATCTAGCTGAGCAACATGTCTGGTGCCAGGTGGGAAGAAATACGCAGCTAGGACTTTTCCTTTTGTTCTCACCTCTCCTAGCCTGTCACTTTCTTCCCCAAACCTGCGGGGGTGTAACATTTTTGACAAGTGAGCTCCGTACTCTCTTAAGTAATAAAGAAGTTCATTGTTTTGCAAACAAACACCATATGCAAAAGACTCCTTTGGTTTCCTTGCAGCTATTCTTCTCTGGCCTAATTGTATTCCCACTGGAGTGCTCACAGGAGGCCTGAGAGAGTGTGGGCTGCCGGCCTTCAGAAGGGACTTCGGCTAGGGACTTCATCTCCGCAGGAACGCAAACGCAAAGCTGCCAACGTGCACTAGAATTTTTTTATTTTTTATTTTATGTATTTATTTATTTTGCTAATTTCAAAGAACGAGTTTTCAGTTCCTGCCTGTGGCCCCATGCAGAACCATTAATCATTAAGTCCCCGTGCACTTACGATTTGACACTGGAAATATTGGGACATGTTATAAATGAGTATATTTTTAAGGGACAGCTCGCTAAATGCTAGGCACCCCCCCTCCCTTCAAGCACCCCCCCAAAATGCACAGGCAATGAATCCTGTGCATCAGCTCCGATGTGTGGGGAAGGCTCGTCATTAAATGCACAGGGACAAGGGTAACTCACAAATGGTGGGAAATTGTTTTGTTTTTATTAAATTTAGAGAAATAAAGGAGATTTCTTATCATCTTACTCTCTTTGTACATGAATATTTGATGGGCATTATTAAACATTAAAGTAACATGAAGTAGGCACTTATTTTTGGATTTCCAACAAAATTAGATCCAGGCTTCGAGACGAAATAACTGCTTCTCCACATTCCTGTGATTCAGCCACCACCTGATTTGAAAACGTTTCTCGGGCTCTAATCTCAACCATGTGTACCTGAGGCTCTGCCTTTCTAGTGGGTTGAAAGGTGGCTGGGTTTATGGTTGGCAGTTACCTTATCCCTGCCCTGGGTGTCCCCGCTTGGACTGGAAAGGCCGCCCCCAGCTGGCACTGACCTCTAAATGACCCCTAACTTTACAGGCTTAAACTGCAGGAGTTGCCGAAGAGCAGAAGTCTTTCTGGCCAGCACTTATTACTGCTGTGTTGGTGATAAAACTTCAGACAGCCTAATTGATGGCTTTGCTGACCTAACAATACCTTGTGAAAGCAGAGTGCCAGAGCCTGGTCTCCATTTATGACCAGCTGCAAGGGGGAAGCTGGGTCTCCCCGCGCCGGGGACTGCAGGCGAAGGGGAAAAGCTCCCAGCCTGCGAACTTTAACCAGATCCCGACCTGTGCGAGAAGCAGAAGCACGATTGCAAAGGAAGAGAAGCTTTCTCGGGGAATACACTTCTCCCCGCCTGTGCCGTGTTTGCCAGCCAGCCTCCGGTTGGTTTTAAGAGGACGGGCGAGATGAGCCAGTCAACTGTTTTTGAACAGGGAAAGAGAAAATTGCCTTTGACTGACAACGGTCATTTCCAGTAGATGTCCGACTGGATCGTATTCCCCGCAGTGTTGGTGCAAAGGTGTTCACGGAGCACAGACCTTGCATCTGATGACCGGTCTCTCTGTTTTATTTCAG